CTATGGGAATTGTGATATTGAAGTTGAAAACCATTTTTTAGAGATCACATATGTAACCGTTGTGACGAAGATGTCTTTGAGGGGCTGTTAGGTGTAACGGGGTTAACCGAGCCGTTGTGAGAGAGAGGAGGTCGCACAACCTTATGCGACCGTACGTAGGTGTGTATAACACAGTTAGTGTAATAACACAGTGGTTGCGGCTTCACCGTAATAAAAAGCCACCACGTGGCAGAATTGCAAGTAGTAATGCTTATTCCTATATTTATTAGGTTTTGCTTTATTGATTAGATATTATTTAGTAACACCTAGGGTTTTAGATAGTAGCGGCTCTACCGCAACTAATACAACTTAATACAGTTTCGATTTTAAACAGATGTTCGTTTGCCTAGGTAAGGTTTTAGTACTTAGAAGTAGCGGATTGCGATCCGCTCCACTTGTACTTTCATATAAAAGAGCGTGATGTCGGTGACCTTAGCTCAACTTCCTCTAAGCAAAGAGCTACAGCAGCCCCGCTGCATTATGCGTTTTAACTGTAATGAATCCGAATGAAATGGCGAAGGGTTTTTTAACTGCACAGCCGCGGCCCGCCGTATCGACTCTCACCACAGAATTATGATACAGCACAACATTAATGATTATCCAAGTAATATGACATGTAGTGATCTTTCCTTGCGAGCGGTGCGAGATAAAGGACACCTCCTGTGCTGAGAAGTCGATGATCGGTATGGTGGGAATAACCAAAAACCGCACTATTTTGTGCCGAATGGAATGCGGCTACTTGCTCATGCTTTCTTAAGATCAAACCGGATTTATTTTGGCCCAGAGGCGGCATCCGTTCTCGTGCGAGTTCTAAATAAAAGTGTTTCGTGATACAGTATGAACCAATAATTCATGATTTGTACTCGACGGCCATTCATATGCCACATTTTCCTGTCAAACGCTCAAATGGCTGTCAATCACCGCGACACATAACGACCGCGTTGTACACAAGCAGTGCATGCTAAAAGAAATGCTTGTAGACGCTACATCGGCGGCATGAAAAGAGCTGACATTTATTAGTCGACTCAATTTATCTGAAATATATGAAACATGCCAAATTCGAAATCACTGATAGATATTTTGACCACAGACACACTAACTAAAGTCGATTGGGTGAGCCATCGGCAGACGCCACAGCTACATTTTCACCAGAATAGTAGGACCGAACTTTTTATAATGTTGCCGCTGAAAACGATGAGGGTTTGAAGTATGATTAAGGTTTAGACATGCAGATGCGCTCTCCGGGAGCAATTTCAGCCTAGCAAAATATTATTTCTTGGTCTCGTCACTGCATATGGACGTTTCCGAATCCACAGATATACCGACTTATGAGATTCGGTGGCGGCCAAACCGATAGCTCACGCGTCGGCTTCATCGTAGTTTATGCTATTAAGTCGTGACGCCATCCAAGACGTGAGTAAAGACGCATACGTATGTAAACGTTATGTGTACCGAGAGCTCGATGGTATATCTCGCGATAGTTCCTGCCATGGACAAACAGCCAGGTCATTTAATCAAGATGTTATCGAATCATGGTGGACCAAATATCATTTTATTAAATGAGCACATGAGGTTTGACGCTGCGACCTAATGCAATTTATTCATTGGAAAGTAGCCTTTTGATGCACACAGTATCTCATCTATAGACAATTGGTCAACTGAAGGGGGTCAATCGTGTGGTCGAAGAATCTATGCGCTGTTTGTGGGTTGTTCTGTTCTGATCAGCGCTCTTAGATACATAATTCTCGTGCAACTAGAATAAACCCGCTGATATATTAACGGCATTGTTGAATGCTAACACCTTCATTGGCAACTACCGAGTCGTACGTAAGTAGCAACTGGTACTGAGGAACAAATGGCATAATATTCTCATACAGTATAACATCTCCATCATGTGGCACATCCCGCTCTGAGTTTTAAATTATCCAGAGATATAATATAGCAAGCGTTGACATTGCCGACTTCACCAACGTGATATGCGACAATTTATCGTCGGGACGGAAACAAAGCGCTTCCGTCACCAAAAAAAAACGATCCGAATTTGTACCTTATTTAAAAAGGTGTGCTTGGCTAAAGGATAATCGTCTTACCATTTTGGTGTGAGCTGTGGAGCGACATTTCTGTGCGCAACGACGCAACGACGAATGATACGTATTGACCACGAAATGCTTAAAACCAAAATTGAATCTGCAGAGACGATTGATTGTCTTCTTGACAATGATGCATACTTCGCAGTGAAGTAGCCCACAAACAGGACCGGCCACTATCAAAGACACACTTGTCTATTTTAAGAATTTTGATGTCGAGATGTATAAACACGAGCACTGCTTGTATGTGTTTTATATGGATTTTTACACCCGATTTCTTTTGCTCTGCACGAAATTTGACGAATGTAGCGTCAAATTTAAAAATGGTGATATGATTTGTGCGAAATTATTGGTTATGATGCTGATGCCCAATATCTTCGGGCTCGCGGAAATGATATTCCTTGTTGGCGTTTTGTACATAGCCTTGATGCGATCTCAACATCTGCGTCACCAGAAGAGTTGCTTATGCGTTAGGCTGACCTTGTGACATTACCAGCCGCTGCCGAAGTATCCAGCTCGGAGTTCTCACCGCATTGAAGGGGATATAGCTAAGGATCACTTACAGTTGATGATAATGATCGACCAGGACAAAAGCATTGAACAATGCGCAGCCGACCATTCTGTTCGACAGCAGAACCTTTTTTAAATTGGCCTTAATTCCTAAATTATGGCTACATTCAGCTTATAATAAGCATGCACAACCTGTCGCGTGCCTGTAGTCTTTCTCTCTTAGACTCTTGGGGCCGAGTTTGAAAGTCTACTTTCTATCACCGGATCCACTTTCTGGTTCCCATGAATAAATCGGAAATGACGATACATGTTCCCCTTCGCAAGGGAGTGGCGTATGATGCAATATTTGGATTCGAGAGCAAAACCAATTTTCAGACCTCTTGTCACGAATTCGTGATAAATCTTCGACAAAGAACAAAAATGATTCTCATTGGTCCTTGAAAGCGGACATTCTGCTCCTCACACCGAAATCGCTGCGAGTGCTCTCAAAGACATACTCAGTCAGTTCGAACGACGAGCTCTAAGCGACAGGCGTCACTGCGAGCCGAATCCGTTTGAAGACCAAACATGGTAGCTGTTGCCGCCACCTGGAGAAGTTCAGACACCGTACTGGCGTTCGGGTGTCAACACCTGAGTATACTGCTTCTGAACCTACCTTCTTTGACGGATAGACAAGAATTTTGAGCGCACCCTGCAGCGGGGTTGCCGTAGCTCTTTGCTTAGAGAAAGCTTACTAAGGTCACCGACCTTACGTTCTATATTAGAACCAGTACGAGTTTAGAGAACCGCAATCCGCTGACTTCAAGAGCCCCGAAACCTTAGCTCAAGGCAAATGCACTTTTCTGTTTAAAATCCAAACTGTAATTTTTTGTTTGATATGCGGCAGAGCCGCCTGTATCTAAATCTATAGGATTTCCTTAAAACCTCATTAAAATGCATAGCTACTGGCATCCCCGTCACGAAGTGGTTTGATGTTATCGTGTAGCCACACCACTGTGTAGTCGCACCATCCTGTCTGACCCACCCCTTTATACAAGGGTACGTATAACCCCGTTACAAACCCGATACGACTGGTAATGTGGTGCGAACACCCGCCAAACATGTCGCTTCAAATCATTCAACGTTGGAACTAACCCTTTACACTGGCGTAAGTGTCGATTACCTACACGGAAACGCCTAGTTTAAAGATTGCATCGACGACGCACTCTTTGATGAAGTCTGAATCCATGGCCATCTCAATAATCTTAACATAAAGACGATGATGAGTCTTGGCATTAGCGAATCTTACTGTGAATTTCATCTATTCTTTGCTCGTGAATGTGCTTCATCAGCGCATTTTGAAAGCTAATGAGTGCCTCGAGGCGAGCGTTTATTCTTTCTGACTTTCTGCTACCATACCTTCTCCCATCGACACCGAAGATAGACAAAAGCATTTAAAGTTGATAAGTTTGCCCGAGGACAAGTATCCTAACATTTCAGAATCCATTCTCGCAGAGGACACAGTCTTGCCACGGCTCGGTCGAAGGATTGACTACAATTGCCGCCTAGCTAGACGGAGTTGCCGTGCACTTTGCATTGAGGAAGGTTAAAATATGCGTTTGAAAACGCAAAGAGAATAGTCTCGTGCGCTTTTAATAGAAGCGGAGCAGAGAGCCACTGAGACATTTAGTTTGTTAGCTCTGCGCTTCTAAGACTTCACAAATGTATAAAGTAGGTTATCTTTACAAATTATAAATATACTATAATAATTTCGCAACAAAAGATTCGAACGTGGAGCTGAAGCTGGCACCTATGTGTGTCCTTCTCCAAGTTCCAAGACCTTGAGGATACTAATACTCGGGTACATTCACAAATCAATTATTACCCCATGTGTGATGTGAATCTGTACAGTAATTTGACCCACTCCAGGCATTAGAGCCGCTCGTAATTGACTCGGGTCTTTTGGTCTTCGTCTTCGCCTTCGTCCGGACCGTAGTGGCGATGTCACAGTGCGCTATTTATGGAAAGACCGTTTGCCTTGGCGACCCATCATCCTTGATATGATGGTCTTCTGAAATACATTTGTAGTTGAATGCATTGCACGTTGTAAGCTCGTGTTCTTGCATCAGAAATGCACTTCAAGTCAACTAAAGGAGAAGCATCTGCATTTGCTCAAAAAATATAAAATTCAGGTGAGGGTAACGAAGCTGAATTTTATAGCTTGCGAGTATTATGGGGTGCATTGGTTTGTATGGCACACCACATCAACAACTATTATAAATTCTGGTTCCTGGGGTACCTAAGCATAGATTTTATGCAATTTCCCTTCCTTTCCTAAGCCTAGACCGCGTAAGATTTTTTTAAATGGGAGCTTTCTAGTCTCCTATGCTTCCAAAGCTAGGTGCAAATTAGCATCCGAAAATGACCAAAATACGCGCGAGACACGCTTCTCTGTGCTTGTAGAGCTGATAATACTGTCGGCGACATTTGCTGTTCACGTCAAAGCTGCTAAAAAAACACCATCGGCGAGTGTTTTTACAAAGCTAGTAGCTGAAAATTCATTTTCACTGCGGAGGGCTCAATTCTATCGTTATTGATACATTAAGTCATTCATAGCGGAGATATCGTTGCGTCCAATATGCGAGCAAGGTGATATTAGCTATTGCCTCTCTTTACACAGCGATCAGCTGTATACAGTGCTGGCCAAAAAGATGTAGCCATGACTATTTCTCAAATTTTTACGTCAATTTCCAGCGAAATACCCTAAAACCGTGTGGAAACGCTATTGAGACAAAGCACATATGGAGCATATCTTTTTTTTCACAGACGATTTTTCGTTGCGGAGATAAAGAAGTGACCATCACCCTGACCCTGGACAAAAGTACGTAGCAGCGTGAACTTTGTGACATTGTGAGACTTCTAGAAGGTTCTAGAGCTTCCACCAGACCACAAATCGTAGCTACGGGAGTGTTGAAGACAATCACTTTTCGTCGTTAACCTGGCCACCCCGCAGTTATGCCCAAGGGCTCTGAGTTCACGCCTGTAGAAACAGGCAAGATTTGTGGGCTTCGCGAGGCAGGTTGGACGTTTACTGCAATTGCTGCGCACCTAGGTATGTCGCCAGCCGGTGTGAGCAAGTTCTGGAGGAACCGAGACACTTACGGAACGGTAAAG